TGAGGAAAAGTTACGATGTTGGTCTTCAGGTGTGTTATTTTTGGGTTTATTTTGAATTTTGCAATACTGATTTGCTTCCTCTCCTATATGGAGGTTTTAAAGCATGTCATTTTAATGATATTTTAATACATATTGTTTTAGATGGCAATTAATGAGAGCAAAAAAGAAGCTGAGAGGATAAGCGCTTTAGAAAAAGCTCCACCAAAAATGGTGTCGGGGTCTACGCTTTCACAAAGTGCAATTGACGACCTGCTCTCTCTGGGGGTTGGTCAGCCAGTTAATGCTGCCCAGAATCCTTGGGGAGGACCTACAGTAGATCCTTGGGCCCCATCGCCTAGTGTTACTTCGCCTGTTCCCCCGTCTGCTACCATAGGTAAAACCACAGTCAAATGTTGCTTTGTAGAGTTATTCCAAATATTGTACACTACTGGTTACAGTAATTTTTATCATTTTCGACTCAAAAATAAGCTTCTTTCACATTTGTGGTATTGTATAAACACTAGTTAGCTTATTACTCACAAAACTTTATTTTTTTAATTATTATTTTTGCTTTTTCCAACTTATGGTTTTTATTGCTAATGCAATTTTCTTTTTTTATGCAATGGGTGAAAGCAGGCACGTGCCGAGAATGTTTTTTTTAAATGGTTTCAATTTTTTTTTTTTTTTTTTTGACTTTTATTTTCTGTCGAATACAGTATTGAAGAGCATTTACAGCAGAAAACCAATTTAACTTTACAAAAGAAAATTTTCTATAGCAGTGTCTGGCAGAAGTTTCCATTTTTTGGTAATCTGCTCAGAAGGGACTTGTGGATTAATTTTTTATTTTAGCATTACTGTGATCGGTAGCTGTTTGTTTTATTACTTATAGATAATTCGGCCACTTTTTCTTTTTGTAATTAACGATTCTAGTTGAGATGAGATTGAGTAGCCAAATTTTTGTCCAATTTTTGTATCGCGTCATATAAATTTGAGCTTGGCATGTTGCTACCTATAATTCGCAGATTTAAGGGTCCTCGTTCTGTGCAGCGCACAGATATCGGATCCAATAACTTTGGAGGAGCGGAAAATGTGAAACATGTAAATTATTTTCTTCAGGAAACTGAGTTCTTTAAACTTTTTGAGACGTAGAGCTTTTTGCTCAAAATATGTGACATTTTGTTTAATTTGGTAGAAGACACGAAAGTTTAAATTGGCTCTTTTTCTACAGAAATAAACTCAGAAATTTTAGGGGAGAAAGTGGAAATTTTACTGCCAAAATTAGACTTTCTTCAATTTTATCGTTGGCAACTTGTAGCAGTTGTAAATTCAGTTAAGTGTTGTTGAAAGAAAAGACTGATGTTAATACAATTTCTGATTATATTATGTATAGTTACGCGTGGGTTTATCTCTTAGGGCTGCCCTCTCCGTATCCTTCTTTGACAACTCAAGCAGGTTCGAATGATCCATGGTTACCAGCTTCATCTGCAGTCACCACAACGCCAAGCCTACCCAGTGATCCATGGAGTGCAACATCAACAACATCTTCAACTCTCGAGCCAAAACCTTTGCTACCATCATCCTCCGATGGGGAGTCAAACAAACAAAGGGCAAATATGAAAACCCCTGAGAGTTTCCTTGGCGAGAATTCGAATTTGGTCAATTTGGACAATCTTATGGGTACTACTGGCAGCTCTTCGCGTCCAGGTATCTTTTACTCTCATAGTTCAGAAATTATAATGTTTTAAATATCTACAGTAGCGAGGAAAGAAAAAATGTATACGTTCATAATTGTTCAAATCATCTCTCAAATCTTCGTAATTTTGGCGTTTATCGTTTTTAGTTACTGCTGATTGTGACATTTTGTAGCATGAGCTGTGTATTTTGCATTTGCAAACATTTGCGAAACTCTTATTACTATGGGGTTAAAAAAGATTAGGTTTTGTCATTGGTAATGAATTTTGAGATTGTTTTTCGTTTTTGCTTTTCCTAGTTCGATGTAAAGGGAAGGGTTATCCCTTTGTTTTGTAGAGATGGCTCACCCTTCTTCTTCTTTTGATTTACCTTGCAAGAATAAAGAGGGTTGAAGTACATCGCGAAAGTGAGTTGTTTGCAGGGAATTGACATAATTGCTGCTGCGCACATTGGAATTCCTATAACATCGAGTAATCACTACCTAAACTATTTTAGATGTTTTAAAAGATAAAGTAAAGTGCTTGTCAGATTCAGTGTTTCCATATGTAAATGAAGGATTTTTGTATTCACTTTATTAGTGCATGAGTAGGTGATACTGAGTTTAGAAAGAAAGTAAAAAATAGTGCTGTGACCAAGAGTTATTTCTGTCTGTGGTGAGAGTGATATGGCTTATCTATTATCGGTAGAATAAGGAAGCCAAATATTCTGCAGAAGGTGCAGATATTACTGCGCTTTTATTAGAAACTTTTTCAAAGTAATTTATTTTACTTTATTATTATTATTATCATTATTTTTTCTTTTTTTTATTATTTATTTATTTATTTTCTGAAAATTCAGTCAACGGTGGAGAGTAGGTTCAAGCGAGAGCTTAAGTATGCCAGCTTTTTCAATTTTGCTTTGTTTTATCAGAGCTTCTATGGCAGTTACCGGGGATTGTAGTTCTGCAGTGAGGATACTGTAGTCCTCATTTGCCTCCCTATTCTGTCGCTACTTTTCCCCTACTAGAAGTCCCTTCCTTGAAATTTGTATTTCTTCATTTTTAAAGGACAGTGAGCTCTAAACTTTAAATTTTATAATTAAAGCTTTTTGAATTTTGTAGAGCATTCTTTTATTGTGTTTTGTTTTCTTTGTGCTTAGGTCAGGTAAAAGAATGGACATTACAGGTGGTTTAAGAGTGGGTAGTAGTGCAATAAGCCATTGAAAATAGATATAAAGGCTCTTGAGCGTTACTATAATCGTCTGCTTAACTTTCGTGCTTATGAGGCATTTGGAGAAATGGTCGAGAGTTTTGCTTTTTGAGCGCTAGTTGCTTTATCCATTGTCTCCTAGAGGGAAAGAGGGAGAGTGAAAGAGTTGAAGGTGGTTTTGTAGACCTCTATTTTCTTTCGTTCGAAAATAATTCCTCTATAAACGATCAATTACTCAGTTCAAGCCGTTGAATGATACGGTAAAAAAATGCGCAGGTGAGCAGGGAGGGAGGGAGGAAAGATGGCTCGACGCTTGACGTCGGCGAATTCTTGTTTAAGAGGAACGTAGCGGATCTTTGGTTGAAATTCACCTATTTGAGCTTATTTGCTAAGTTAACTGTACGAGAAGTGCTACAAATATCATATGAAATGTCCAGTTTTTTTTGTTTTCTCTTGGTCAGGTTGTGGATTGAGGATTCCTTTGAAAAGCTTCTGTTTGGAGGGAAAAAGAACGGGTGGGCAGCGAGTGCACGTAATGGCAGGGGTCAGTAGGAGCGTCCGAGTCGGAGATTTTGTTAGTAGACCTTCAGTCTAGGGTAGGAATTTCGCTGGAAGTGTTTAGGCTAAATCAAGTTTATTATCATTATCAAGTTGTATTTCTCAGTCCACTTCCAATTACTTGAACTTTCCGACCTGTATTGCGTAAAAAGTCAACCAGACTTGGATTGGGGAGCTTTATGTTGTGATGCTTCAGCTTGGACATGTCACACTTATAATGCAGAGAAGGAAAAGCTAGCTGTTTTTGAATGTACATAGTTTGTTTCAAAAATAATTTCTTCTAGAGTGAGTTTTTGAAATAAATTTCTGAATTTTCCATCGAAATTCAGTTCTTAACGACGTTTTCATTTGAGCCTGACCAGTAGAAAATTGAATTTGCTTTGCGTAATATTTTTTCCTTCAACTTCTTCTGAAATTTGTAAGTTTTTACTAGTAATTCTCCAAGAAGTAAGTTCGCTGCAATCACACGGAAGTAGTATTTTGTTCCGAGGCTATAAGGTTCATAAAAACGTCATTTGGGACTTACAGTGAAGATCTGTGATACAGAGTGCAGCTGCGGGTTTTTCAAAATGTAGAGGAAGAAAACAATGAAAGTGTTTGGTTTCTTTATCTACCAGCTTCGCAGCATCCTTCTCGCCGCTGTATGTAGACCACTTTAAGAGGTTTTGTCGTGCCCTGCAGCTTAAATGGGGCCTTAAAATTGTTAAATTGTATTTACTTTTAAGCTAGTAATCCTTTCCTCACTGGTACTGGCTCAGGAGCTTCGACGAATCCATTTGCTGCCCAACAACGGCCGTCTCCATCACTGAGTGAGATGATGAATCAGAGTCGCGCTGCACCCGTAACGCTTCAACCCAGCTTGAATCCTACACCTATTGCGCCTGCGAACCAGCAGCAGCCTACAAACCCGTTTCTATAATACACAGTTGAACTCGCGGTCGTTTGAATATTTCGTAGAAATTTAATTTTGAAATAGCTTGTTAAGTTCGTTTGTTTGGTATTTAAAAAAATTATTGTGTTGATATTTCTATCTGTTCAAATTGGTCTTTTTATCAAGCTTTTGCTACAGTAATGGTGGTGTTTTATTCCAATTTCTCTCGAAAAAGTTGTCATTAGACTTTCTTCAGGCTTTCATTTCAACTGTGATACTGGAATTCATATATGTTAAAGTCTTCGAAAAGTTATTTCTTTACAACTTAAAAAAGCTTTGAAGGAAGAGCAATTTTTTTCAAAATTGATGGGTTTTTTTGTTATAGGAGATTCAGAATCTTTGACATATAGTTTCACTGCAGTTCCACTACATCATAGGTCTTTTAATTAGTGGGGTCAGAGCGAAGTTTTATTGTTGTTTTCTGTTTTTGACGGATATATATATATATATTATTCTTTATATTTGTAAACTTTTAGCGTCTGTGAAAATTCGGGATATTTATCTATCACTGAAACTTTTTTCGATAAGTAACTGGACGAGGGGTTACAGCTGAAGCATGGAATTGCTATAGCCCCTTATGATAGGTTGTAAAGTTTTGTTTGCTGTTTAATGTATGTATAAAGTCATGTACGACGTCAGATTGTAATTCAAGTCATTGTAACTTTCTTTTTCAAGAAGAATCAGGCGGATGTGATTACTTTGAGTGTTTGAGGTACGTCAAAATGTTTTTGATTTTGTCGCAGTCAACGCTCACCCCCTTCTAATTTTTGCGGAACTTTTTTGCCGCCTTTACGTCTATTTTGTTTATACTTCTACGGATTCCTGTTCGATAATAAACTTCCTTTCGCATTGTCGCACAACCTAGTTCTCTGGAGCGATTCGTAGGTTTGGGAGGTTGCGGAAGGTGAGTGCCCGTCTTGTAAGATCTTCAAGATGATTTTCATTTGTGCTTTCAGCTTAGCCGGTGGGATAATTAATGAGTGCGGGAAGACGTTTTCTTCGCCTTTTGTAAATGAAGTACTATTTTCATGATTGCCAATCGAAATCGACGAGGAGCCCTAGTGACGGAGTTCTAGTTTCATTAGCAGGTCAAAGCAATTTTGTATTATGGGCAGCCAAAGTATTGGCGCGCTGTGCAATTTTATGGAACATCAATACAGTTTGGGACGGCAGTCGAAAGATTGTCGGAGTTGGTTACTATCAGTAAGCAGCAAATTGGGATTTTAAATCTTCATAGATTTTTGTAGTTAGCAGCTTTCATAGTACAGCAGCTTGCTTCTTTGAACAAGACATTGTCTGTTTTAAGTATGTAAAAATAAGTGCTACGAAATATTTGAAGTAAAAAGTTATAGAGTAATTTCAAGGTTAATAATACATCCCTACTGCAACATCCTTTGCTAAACTATTTTTCATCAGGAGTTGGCAGATTTCTCAAATACTCTGCTCTACGTAATAGCAAGGTTATATTCATGGACAAACTCCCATACTGTCCATTTTAATATTCCAAAATATGTTTACGAGAAGTAAATGGAAACTACAAGGACTGCTTGACAGAGTTGTAATTTGTTAATCGCTCACAAAATTTACTAGTGTTTTTCTTTTTTTTTACATTTAGAGTATACGCAAGCGTGTAGCTTGGTTCAAGGTGATTTTAAAGTACTTTTAATTTTTGACTACCTTGGTTTCTTACTGGTGATCGAGAAAGGATACAGCTAATCGGCAGCAGAAAAATTTCATAGACATTTTCAAAACTATTATAGCTTCAAAACTTAACTTTAAGCTCTCTAGTTTTATTTCCTTTAATATCTCTGATTACGAAAGCTAGGTTATCCAAACTTTTCAAAATATTTCAGATTCTTTGTTTCACTTGTTAAGATTTGCAAATTTGGATCTTGAAATGTAGATTCGGAAAAGAAGATTTTTTAGTGCACAAATATGGTTCTTCTGGTGGACCAGCCGACATCAAAATTATTTAGGCATTTATCAGCAGGGCAGTTAACAAATGTGCTGCTGAATTTTAGATTGAGATTTTTTTAACCAGAGGTTTTGTTTTTAATGTGCAGAACTTACATTTCCTCGTTGGATAATTTCATGTTTAAAGTACTCTTACTGTTTTCTTCAACGTAAGGAGGTCCTAGTGATATATCCGAAATGACGTATAAGTAGGAGACTTTGTGGGGAAAATCAGTGCAAGGTTCTGACAAAACTTTTTGGCAAAACTTCGCATGGGCTATTCCACCTATTTAATTTTTGGAAAGAGCTCTAAAGAGCTATATCCAATGATTTTCAGCTGATTTTTTCCTAGCTGTTTCATTTTCAGCGTAAAAGAAAAGTAGCGATATAAGGAGATCCTGTTTGTTACTGCAAGGCAGTTTTGCAATTTTGTTCCAATTGTTGAAAAGTTGTAAAAATGCAGTACGCTGAACAGAATTTTTTACTAATTTTTGTGTGGAATACTTTTTGAAAAACTGGTCAAGTTCAAGGAAGAGAAGCGCAGTAACTGAAATAGATAAGACTGTGAATGATAGGCATAAGCACTCGTTGAACACTAGAATAGTGTGTATTTGACTAAATTTAGGTTTACGGCTTTTTGGTAACCTTGGGTTACTAAAGTGCCGGTGCGTTGCTTTCGTTAGCTGGAAAGCACTTACCGCCTAGTACAACTTTATGAGATTTGTGATATGCTTTTAATAACAATTAATTTACCAGCAGGGTACCGCCATCTTATAGCAAGGCACCAGGTAAACTATAATTAAATTTCAAGATTTTACCACTTATCGTACGAATCTTCTTTCCTGAACTGCTTCTGGAAAAAGTTAATCCTGCTTTTTCCCCACTTATTTACTCTAAATAATCTCCATTTTTTAGTTCCTTTAGTGCCCACATTTAGAGGTTTCCTAGTGTTCATTAAATTGTCCTGGTTTTTAGCCCTCCAGTCAGTTTTATTAGATTCTTTTATATTAATTTACTCATTTTTTCTTTTGTATTTTATTAAACGAGTCATTCTCTCTTCGGAAATGTTCTTTTTCTTTCAAATTTATTTTACATGATTGCATGGTTTGCATGCATTTCGCATGTTCTTGTTATTGTCATTGTTTTCCCAAAATTAGGATTTTCAGTTCCAGTAAAAAGCGAAGAATGAAATCTAAGATTAAACTGTTCTTTCAGGTTTTTTGCATCTGTAGATTTGACTTAAGGTTGTCCTCCATGAACATGGGTAGGGAGAATTCTACCATAACGAAATGGGCATTTCTGCTCTCGTTAAAGGAACTGAGAGTATTAAGTGTAGCTTTAGAAAAGCTGGTACTCTTTCACCATTCTTCCACTATGAAAATGTCCTTAAAATGGGCAGATCTGTAAATGCGAAGAATGAATATCAAATTTACCTGCCTTTTTGCTTCATACAAAGAATTTTACCACTGTGCCGTATTTGAGATATTCTTGGATGTTCATTCTTAAAGTCCGAAAAGCCAGTGGTGACGTGTCCAGGTAATTTAAAATTTTAGGACAGTTGTTCATCAGTTGGATCTTACCTCTTGTGGTGGAGGAGAAGGGAGAAAAGTTTACTTTTTCTATAAGCTTACGCTTTAGCGTAAATCAAGAAAGTGCCCATTATGATGATAGTTTGCTAAGTAAAATGTAACTAAATGTACTCCAAACTGCCAGCAATTATGCACCAACCGTGCGGGAAATACTTCTTTCTAATAGAGGAGTAAGCCAGCTCATATAATGTAGTACCTTATTAACTTTACCAAAAAACTCAGAAGTCTAGAACACAAATTAACAGACAAGTCATTGTCCTTTTAAGCCCTGGGGTCTAATTTCGGCAAAAATTGTCACAGGAACTTTTAACACTTTTTGGTTTTTACTGGAAGACCTAATTTTCTTACATCAGCTAGACTTCATATCAGTTGGTCCCGATTTGTCATCTTTTCAAGTCGCTTCAGATTTCAAATCTGATTCTGACTGCAATATAGGAAGATATTCCATAAGAAGCAGAGCTGATATATGGCGACCCATTATCTTTTTAAATTTGTTTCTAGCTAAGAATTTTCCGTTTTTGTTTCAGATTACTTGCCATTTCCGATACTTGTAATAGCAATTGCTGTTTTTTTATAAATATTGTTGTCATGCTTTTGTTGTACTTTTACTACAGCTAAAAATCTGATCCTTCTTTTGTATCGATTAACTAGCCCTTTATAAGAATTTGCATTATACCATGTCCGAAGTAACAAAAAAATTTTCATAGTTAATACCCTCTCTCTTCAACTGCGAATTTCGACAACTCGTTGTCTAACATGCTTATTTTTTCTATCTTCATTTTTGACCTTTCCTTTTCCTCTTCCGCTTTACTTGCCGCTCGAAAATTGTCCCGGCGGAAGAATAAAGGACAGGAGAAGAGCGAAATAAATCAGAAAAGAAGCAAGAAGATAAGCAGGAACCGTGTTTGTGGCTACTAGATTATAATCCTTTACACTTCTTGTTGAAGTGACTTAAGCACTTGTTTATGATTTTATGTTCATTCGCGATTTTAAGCCCCCAAAGCTTAAAGCTTTTTTTGAAAGTTGAAAATGAACTCAACGACGAAGTTTGCGTCCAGCGAAAAACAGCAAGATACGAAAGCGGATACAGTTTGGGTCACATACAAGTGTTATGTTTATAAATAAAGCTAGATGTGCAGTAGGTAGTGTTTTGAAGAGTGTAATATTTTTGGACGGTAAAACAAAGATGAATTTATAGTAGTGAATCAAACAATGCAACAAGGTTCTTTGTTTATGGGTGGGTAGTAAATTTTAAAGCTAGATCGTTCACTCTACAGAATAAATTCAGAGATATTCAACAGATGATTACCAGAACTGGAAATAAAAAAGGCACAGATGGATGAATCATGAGCAGAACAGTTTCCAGAAAAAAAGAAAAAACAAAAGCAAAACAGCCCACATCTACTCTACATAATCCACATTCTCACAGAAATTACAACATCGGTGACAAAATTTGGTCCAATTAACAAATATTTTAATAGGCAGCGTAGCCAAAAATTTGGCTAAAACAACACTACCCAAAAAAATGATACATTACTTTAGATATGGAGGGCAAATTGTCATAAGTCGAATATATGTTATAATTTTGACATTTTTATGGCAGTCAGCCAACAGCATTACCGTATCCTCTCCACACAAAAAGTTTTTATACACCAAATTGGAAATGTGCACATCAGAGATATATGTTGGTATGTGTACTTAAAAACCCACAAACATCCTCCCTTCCTTCACATCGATTTGAAATTCTTGTATCACATCTTTGAGTTAAATTGTTTCACATCTTTGAGCATGATGGCGTATTGGTTTTAAGAAGCCGCGTAATCTTATTTATTGTATGAGTTGATTTTGGTTATTTTTATGTACATTTATTTTCTTTGCAAGCTTTGATAATGTTCTCCATAGCCCCGATTAATTTCGGGGCTACGTCGTCAAGCGGTGTACCCCAAGTAATTTATATGGAGCAGACCCAGATTGAAGATTTATTGATGCGTTCTGTTGATGAAGTTGTTAATGAATGGAAACGAAGTAAAACTCCACTTGGTTCGGAAGCAAGATCTGCTAGAAATTTGTTTGCTTCAGTGGATTATTTTCTGGCTAATGGGTATCTTATTTTGAAATTTGCATGTAATTTCATGATTTCCTCTGTTATGTAGAATCACGTAAAAAGAGATATTAAAGAAAGTTCATCACTTATTTTGAATACAGCTTTTTGATATTTTCTTTTAAAGAAGATTTGGTTTGAGGTGTCTTGAAGGCAATCGGACGTACTGGCGTTTTATAAAGGAATTTTTGCCTAGGTCGCACAGAAGGTATTTTCAGCGTGAATGTAAGACGCGTTCTGACCGTGATCTGTCGTTGGTTTGGTTGAAAGATTCCTTAAACAAACAAGTACTTCCTTATTATTTTCAGGTAACTTAAATGATAGTATTATAACACTTCCAATCTCTACCAGTCTTCTATTTTGTATCTCGAGAAGCAGTATGTAATCATTTATTGAAGCAATTGTAATTTGGATTGATTTTAGTCTTTTTTGTTGAATTGGAATTTGGTACGTAAACATTACACTGTGAACGCGATGATTCGTAAACGCGCAGTTGCTCAGAGAATCACTGAAAAAATTGTTGAAATTGTAGAAGTTGAATTCTGCTTTGTTGTAAGTAGCTGTTTTCGTTAACTGGTCTTTTCGGTTACTGAATGTTTCGTTTTCTACCTTCATGTTTTTGTTATAGTTGTATTTTATTACTTTGTTTAGGAAGTTTGATGAAATTTTCCTAACTAGAAAAAAATTTCAGGTAAAGAACGAAATTAAAGAAAACGTCCCTGTTGCATTAGTTCGTTCAGAAGTTTCTAGAACGGAGCCGAGCTCGTCAGTTCAGCATGCTGTCCACCGTAAAACACGTTTCAAAGATTCTGAAGATGGGGAAGATGCTGCATTTTCAGCCATATCGGATATACATATTTCTCCAGATTTAGTAGAAAATCCTCCAGAACCCAATCCTGCTCCTTTTCTTTCTACAGCAAAAGATTTTGTAAGCTTTTTTATTTTTTATTTTTTAGTCTGATCAGGGTTTTTTAAGTAACCAGCTGTTACACTTTAAATAATAAGCAATGCCATTGACAAATGTTTTTATTGGAATACTTCTTTTGTCTTTAGCTGAAATTTATTTTGAAGCCACTACCTCTTAGTTTTCAGAAGTGGTTATTCTGATTGTTTATAGGATTATGTGTTTGCTGAGATTGTACAAAAAAGGGAGAAACAAATGCCATCTACTAGCTCTCTACCTGGAAAACTGGAATCTGAAAAAAAATCATCGGATGCTCTTCAACAGCTTGTGTCGCAAAGTAATTTCAGTGCACAAAAACATGAAGATTGTGTCAATCCAGATCTTCCGCAAAATGTACCAAATGTAACTTTGCTTTCTTATTGCTTGAAAATAGTTAGGAAGTTTTTTAGATCATGTGTTTTTAATTGGTTTAAAAAGAAAAAATTAAGGATTTGATTGTTTTGGCAGAGAAATATACCGCCACTTAGCCAAAGAGTTGAGTTTGCGTTTTTGTTAGGGCTTTATTTTTGGTATAAATTTAGTTTTAAAATTTTTCTTTTTTTCTGTTAGCAATTTTTGCAGATGTCTGTAAATCCCTTCGATGTTGCCTTAAAATCTAGTCTTTCGCATGCGAAGCTGATTTCTTCGCGTGAAGATGATTTACCATCTAAAAAGTTTTCGCCCCCTCTTGCACTCTTCTCTGATTCTGCACCTTTTGGTGAAGTATGGTGGGTTTCACATATTTGAGACTACAGGAAATAAGTTGGTTTTTGGACATTAAGTTTTATGTTGTTTTTTGTCCTTGATTCTTTTTTGTAGTTGTTACACTTCTAGTAAAAGTTCTTTTTCAGCTTAGATGTTGGGGAAGTTATTGGTCTTTCAATCCACGTGTTCAAAACGGAAATTGAAAAGTTTTTAAGATTTTTCCAGGTTCTTTTTTTTATTGTTCTTTTTTTAATCTTTGTACTGTTTATATTATAAAAGCGTATGTTCAAAGACTATTTGTTCCTAAAATTTCTTCAAGGTTTACGAAGGATTTGGAACAGGACACCCACACCAGCGGTTTCTTGTTTTGTCAAACCATTCTGTTTACCTCTTATCGTTGGAAGCAACACCTTCAATGCGAAAAACCTATTTCACTCGTTCCTACATTCCCTTGAAGAATATCGAATTTATTGCTGTAGGTTCAATGCCATTTATATTTCTACTAATCAACAGTTCTGCGGAGATAGTAATTGTTTTAACTGTCATTTTAATTTTTTTGTTTATAAGTTTTCATGATCACATTCTTTATGAATTAGGCTTGTCTTTTTTGGTTTCAAAAAAGATTATGTTCAGCTTTTTTTAAACAGTGCATTGAAAAGGTTTTATGAAATTCTGTTTAGTTTTTGACTTGAATTTATCTAAGATTGCTCGATCCACATTCGTCTCATTTCGCTAATCACGGATCACTTTAACACTTCGTTTGAGGAGTTGAAATGGTTTAGTCAAATAATACTTCAGAATGATAGTGTGTTATTTTCTGCAATTTTCTACTGAGAAGACACTAAATTTCTAAAACGGTCTTCTTGGTAAATCTGCATAGCAGGACCGTGAAAACCTGTAAATGTAAGTAAAACCTGTTTGGTTGTTTTTCGATCAGTTTTTGACTTAGAAAAAGGCAGGTTCCAATTCTTAAGATTTGTACAGTAGACAGCTTGTGATCCTCAATTAGTTTGAGGTTGTGAGTGGGTATGCGTAGAGTATTTGATACTGAGTGAAACTGCCAGGATATTGGGTGCTCTTAGTTAGTGGAATAAACAGACTATTATGCGCTTTCAAACTATTATAAAAGTGCCAGTCGTTTTGAGGACAAATTTTAAGCTAAGTATTAATGTGCGCTACAAATCGGCGGATTCTTATGGATAAATTGGGTTTTCAACAAAGCGCTACAAAATTTCATCTTCGAGAAACTGCTCCTAAGTCAAGTTAATTTAAAAACTTAGATGATACACCTTGCTTTTTTTATATTTTACAATTGATTAGAGGTATATGGCTGTAGATGTAGAAGCTGAAAAATTATCCTGCAGTGATGTCTTCTCAATACGTTGCATCTTATCGACGTGAAGAATTTTTCAGACCTTACACAGTCACTGCTTTTTATAGAGTCGGTTGTTTTGCTACTGGATAAAACCAATTGTTTTTGAAATAAAAGGCGAAATTATCGTTCTTGTATGCAGAACAAAAGGATTTATAATTTTATTACCGTTTATATGGAAAAGTAAGGGCAGACAGTAAGTTACCGAAGAAAGTGGGACTTCTTCCCAATTAGGCACAGAAGGACCAGCCTGAGGTGACTCCATAGTGTTATGCTGGCTCTTCCCTACACGAAGCTTCCTGAACTAGCGCGGGTACTGTGGTGTGCTGCAGAACGTTTCTAGCAAAAACTATAAAGGTGACCAAAACTACTCTCATGTTTGATGCTGGGGTGCAGAACAGTGAAAACTTTGTCAACACACCATACTTAGTATTACGAAGGATACTGTAATTTCTGAGTAATTGCCGTCTAAAATAATTTAATAATTTGGTTATGTTTGAGAGCGTGAGAATTAATCCCAGTTTTTTTGAAGACCTCGTACAGACAAGAAAGAAGAGTCTTGAGTAAAAGCACTGTTTTTTGAACCGGTACACCAAAACAGAGCAAGTGTTTTCTTTGCGTCGATATTCGTTAGATCTGAACAAAAGCGTAGCGCGCTGCAACTTCGACAAAATTTTGTCTTTTTCTCGCAACAGTTTTATGAAGTTTTTAATGATAAAGTTGTTTAGGTCTCGCCAGATTACCAGACGCTTTTTATACACGCGGAAAAGGGTTACAGTTCTGCATCAGATTTCGGTTCTCAAGTGATGGAAGTGTGTACTGCATGCGCGCGCCTTGGAGAAACGATTGTGCATGCCATATCATTTGCATACTCTGACATTACATCTGTTGGGAAAAGGGAATTAGACGTGTTCACTGAATCGACTGCTCATCATTTTATATTAAACAAGTTCATAGCAAAGGAAATTCCTGAGGTTTATTTATTTTGTTTCTCTTTTGACTTTTACTCTTCTTTCCTCTTTTTCTTTTTTTAAATGAAGAAGCTTAATGGTGTTATATTCTCACTTCTCTATTATCCCGCAGCATTTTTCTTGTCTCATCGTCAAAGAGGTTTAGGACAATATAAAGCTGAATTGTTGTACATTAGCCCAGTGGCGGCAGACAAGTGTTAACTGCCCTGGCGGAAATAGTTTGCATCACAGCGGATACATGTATTACAAAATAGTGCGCAGTGGGGCGTGGCGTATTACTCCCGGAAGTTTCCAGCAGAGTTTCTTCCACCTACAAAACCATAAATTTTACCAGTTTACGGACTCGTCCTGTAAAGTTGGCCAACGTGTAGTGTCGTTACCGTATGTTATCAGCAGATTTATTTTGTATTGAAGTTGGTTTTTAGACTTTTTCGGTATTTTGGAAGTTTTTAGATGCTTAAAATGCACTTTATGGTGTTGATTGCGTCTAGAAGGTGTAATATGGCAGTATATGTATTTTTTTTTTTTGGTTTTTGTTAGCTCTTGACTGTATCATGTTGCTTTTGCATTTTTCAAGCAAGTAGGCTTAAAGTTTTTTCTAAGTTTGCAAAATTTCCGGCAGTTTTAGAGTTACATCAAGTCTCTAGCATTCTACCACCTAACTTTAAGGATTTAGTGAATCGGTCTTGAACATGTCGAAACTTGCCGGTGATGAGTCTCAACATGAATTTGAGCTGGAGTTTGAAAATGGTGATAGAATGCAGTTGCAGTGTCAAACTCGGGCAGAAATGGATAAATGGCTTTCCGTCCTTAATGCTGCTGTATCTTCGCCTGTAAGTTTTTTTTTTGCAAGGGCTCGTGAAAATATCAGTGAAAACAGTCAATTTTGATTTAGTGTACAGGAGACGATGCAGTTGCCTGCATAGTTGCTATCAGTAACAGCCATGTTTTGGTGGCACAGGAAGGCGAAAATTGTGTCGTAGATGGATTTATGAGGACTTTGACCGTAATTCCTCTGGCTGAGATAAAGCAAGCCACAGGTGTTTTAGCACGCGAGCGTTATGCCTGTGTTCTTAGCGATGGGAAAGATCTTAATTGGTTTTTTCTTAGGTCTCCCGATGAGGTAGATCGCGTACTAGCTGTCTTCCAAATGCTTCAGGTGCTTCTTCAGTAAACTGCTGACTTGTTTCACTTTTTTTTGAATTTTTGGATTTTCTGATTCAAAATTTTTTCAAGTTTGGATTAATTGGGTGATGCGGTTCAAAATGCGTTTTTTCTTTGGGTTTTATGTTGTCTAAAATGTTTTCTGGCAAAGGTTGAGGAGTGCAGTATTTTTTGTGGTTTTTTTTAGATACCAGACATAAAGCGTGAAGAAGATGGGTGTTCTCGTCTTGTTGCCCTAGTGAATTCTCTACCCAAATCCGGAGATTTATTTTTCTTTGAAGACCCGCATACTGACAACAGTTATGCAACTCTCTGATCGTTTTTTATTTGTCACTTCTCTGATTATTGACATTAACTTTTAAATTTGCTTGTCTTTTCTGTGTAAAAATATACGAGGTTCTCTAAGTTGTAATTTTTCTTTTCACGTCTCTTTCAGCTAGTCTCCCAGACTTGTTGCTGTGATGTTAGTTGGTATATTTTTTATTTGTACGGGTACCAAGATGATCGACACCGTAATAAAGACACTCTGGGTGACACTGTTTTGTTAGATTGATTAGCGTCGTTTTTCTTATTTTCAATATAATTTGCGCTTTGTAGTGTCACTGTTGTTTGACTAGTTCTTAGGGACTTCAGCGCTGAGTAGTGGTTCGACTTCGCTGCTAATTTAATATTCCTTCCTTAGTACTGTAGCTTTATCTGTTTGGTGTTGCTTTCCAGCTTTTTTGTTAGGAGCTATGTCAAGTATATATCACTCATTTTTAGGCAGAGTTGGGAAGGTCTGGAACTGAAGCAGCTTTGCAGAGCTGGATGTAAAGATTGACAGGATGGCATTGGTTCATGTTCTTAGTAAATGGGAGTTCTTGACTTTTAGCCATTCAAGCGTTACAAGGCAGAACGACTAGCAGGGGATCTATTTTGCTTTGCAGTATAGTTTTTTATTTTCCACTAATCAGTGGAATTCTAGGATGTTTATAGTTTTTGTAGTTCTTATAAGGATAAAGAGAAATGCACCGCATGCTGCGATATAGAAGCTAATAAAGCAGGAGCAAGTAGCTGGTCTTTCGATTGTTCAAATTAATATTTTGCCGGAAGACAGGGCTTGTTCTGGTATCTGATAGCTTTTGAAAGCATACATAGTTGCTTGTGGACGTAGACTAGTACAGAAGAAAACTTCTCTGCAGTGGCTAGGATTAAGAGTCAGTTTACTTATGCTTTTAAATGTTGCTCTACTAGGGCCACCCTGCTCGTACTAGGGTTACCCCCCTACAGTACCCTGCTCGTCTACTCTGACTCGCCCTTCCTCTTTCAAGTGCTCTCAGTCCTTCAACGCAGTCAAGTGGAACACTGGACTAACACAACCGTTCTAGGCATGAGTTTTGCGGCGAGCGGGAGACCTGTTATTGTGAAGTGTATTTATTGTATGCACTCATTTGGTTTATAATGACTTTTCAGCAATGGAAGCTTTGATGCCTGGCTAGTCTTTGCTTGCTAAGGTTCCTCGATCCTGCCCAGATTTTACTTGTATGAATCACTTTGAAAGTCTAGGACTGTGCTAGGTCAAGAAGAATATTATTATGATTTGATGCTGTTTACAAACTTCACTAGAAAATTGGCATGAAAATTGCGAAAAGTTGTTAAAAAATGGTATTATTGCCAAGCAAATATGTAAGGAGGTGTAAAATAACTAATGACGAGGTATTTTCAAATACCGCATGAAACTTTGACGACAGCTTTAAACTTTACTGCAAAGCCACCAGTAAAATTTGTTGGCAATGAACTTAAAAATTTTTTCCTATTATTTTTCTCATTAAATGCAAATCAAAATATGGATATTTTTACTTTTGCCCACAAGACGCTTCTTGAGAATATACTTGACGAGATTAATACGGAAGAACATGAGGTACTCTGTTCCCAGTAACTTCGAAATCTTTATAAGTTTCTGTTAAGATCGTTAACCAGTGAAACTACCATGTAACGGCGCGAACAATTGAGACTGTAAAGTGCCAAAAACTTTCTTTCGCAGACATCATTATCACTGTCCTTGTTTCATAGTTGGCATTGTATCATTGCAATCGAGGATCTTTGCGCACTTATCTGTTGACATTTCTAGAGTTTTCCAGGCGCTCGTGATTAAGTTGTAGTTGTCAAAATGAGACAGTCTGTTGTGGAAATGAAAGTTTTCAACAACCTATCTTTGTCTTACAAGCTTAATATGCCGCCCAAGTTTAGTCTGTTTTTTTATGGGAATGCCCTACCACCAGCTTAGCTGACTATAGCATTATGAGGTTTCTTTACCAAAAAAAGAGTCGGACAAGGAAACGGCTTTTTTACATTCCAAGCAAGCCATACTGTTTCAGTGAGTTTTCAAAGTGAAAAAAAAGAAGGAAATAAAACTGTGGTGAGGAAAAAACGACAAGCTATAAGTCTTTGTCCAGTGTACTGCTGTTGGCTCTTTTTAAACAGTGACGAATGTGAAGAGTACAATTTGTAAACTCGTGATTCTCCGTAGCTCATTCTGATACACCGTCAACTAATATGATGCTTTTCATTTAATTCTTCTGAGAAGAAAATAAATGAAGTCTTTTGCAAAGAAAAATAGAGTTCTTTCAATGGTATATAGAACCTCCAAATGTTTAAATGACATTACTCTGCTATTTTATTAATGCACTTCAGTTTTGATCGGATCTAAAAAAGTATTTTGCCTCTTATGGAAATGGTCAGTTCCTTAAGCAAAAAATTCTCGAATTCAAACGTGGTACAAAGGTACAGAACTATCTTTGGCCTAAAATGAGCTTAAGAGAAGCTGGATATTTTCAAATTTTGACAAGAGAAAAAAGAATTCTTAAAACTTTTACAACACTTAGCAAAAATGCTCATTTTTAACAGAGGTTTTTTATGTTGTAAAATACAGAAAAGCAACACAGTTATGGGGTGTTAAACATTGAAGGTTATTGCAGAGCAGTTTCTGACCGGCTATTGCTAAAACGGGAAACGGTGAGTTTTTAAGGAAGTTGAGACGGAGCCAGCCGGAAAGTTCAAGCAGTTCAGAACATTTTATTGGATATTACTAAAAGTTTTTAAAGCAGTAATTACACATAAGTGCTAAAAAATTGCCTAGTTTTTTTAGGTTTCAAATGGCTTTATCGGCTAGAATTCAGACTTTTAGAGCAGTTTAAAATATGTCATTTGATCCAAGTGGCGTCTTAAACTGAATGAGGGACGATCTCTTGCAGGCGTTATTCTAGACATTATCAGTCAATACATTTTATTCAGTATTTTTTTTGTTGTCCTCATAATTTTCGTTTTTACGTATGCTAGCGCAAACTAACAAGGATTTTCTCTGTAACAGGCTCCGAGGCGCAGTCCTTTACAGGTAGGACTGATTTCAATAAACTGGTCAGTTCACTGGTGTGATTGAATTTTTTTCCTTCACAGCTACTCTTTTCGTTTTTTGCTTGGTATCTCTTCTTCTACAGGTTTCACCTGAAAAACGCGAATTTTTAAAAGCACTCATGATGTGTCAATATGAAAATTATGTACAGTATGAACAGCGTTCGCAATAATAGAAAAGTAATCACTCCAAGCGTAAAAAACTTAATTATTTGTACAGTAGATTTTCTTATCTAAAAAAGCTTCTTTTTTTTCGACATTGAGACTACCTCTGATAATTAAGTTTGCGATTTCCCTTGGTTTTGGCAGTGCTGTTCATCGGTTGTTTCTTCATCATTATCTCTTAAATAGGTTTAGTATCGCTGACACATAGTCATAAATGTTCGTCGGAAAATCTTAAAAGAAACTAATGTAGCCTCAAAAGTGAGTCGCTTTAAAACAAATTTGGAACACAACACTATTGGAAGCGACAGAATACTTCAAGGTGGAAGAAGTGTTAGGACAGTTCTTAATTAAGGGTTTCTTGATGGGTTAAATGAAACTTTAGAAGGTCTTGGCAAGGTTCGGGTGGCATTAGCAAAGCAAATTGCGTCAAAAACGCTGCAAGTTTGCGCCAACACTGATAACTGCCCGTCGCTGCTCACCCGGAATTGGAAGTCACAAATCACAATTTTATTTTACACTTGATAACGCGAAAGTGCATGGTCTTTAAAAAATTTGAATTAGAGGCCAGTGCTTTTCAACTGTAAGCTGTTGTAACAGTGCATTTTTCAGAGCAATCCTTACGACAATAACGCCTCCAAACTGAGCTGTTTTAAGCAGATACGCTTATCGTCGATTATCACAGTGAGATTTAGAATTTCTTCTTGACGACTTTCTCTTGTCGGTAGCAATGCGTAAAGAGCAGAGGTTTTTGTTTCAGCCAGTCATGTTTAATTACGGGAAGTCACGTTTTGTTAAAATGTTTTTTTAAAGCAGCGAGAAACTGTTTGAAATGTTAAGTAACTGCTTTTCTAATGCCGTTGTGGTTGTCAATTACGGAGACGACCGAACGGCACCGTTTGCTGTTTGAATAGTCATATGTTATAGCTTTATACCGGCGTTTCCAAACTTTTCTTTTGGTTATCGCCTTCTTCAAATGAAAAAATTTTATCCTCATGCCTTCACTGGGTCGCTTTCTATTTATGTGACATCCGTTAGTTTTCGGAAAACCTATCTAATGTAGCATTATGTTCACAAGCAAGAACTGATACTTGCTGTATATTCAGGCCTATAAAGTTGAAGGATGGCCTCCAGTGATGAAAATACAAGCGATAACCCTTTTCTTTTTAAGATTGTAATAGTTGGAGACATGGGAGTGGGTAAATCTTGCATTGTTCAAAGGTGCGTTTTCAGATCAACTTTTATAATTTATTAATGTCTCCAAGCTTTTTTTTTTTTATTTGGTTCAGTGCACTTCTTTCAACCCCTTCTTTTTCTCGTCTCGTTTAGGTTTAAAACCAACAATTTTATTGAAGACCAAAAGAGTACGATCGGAATTGATTTTGTATTAAAGGAAGTCACAGTTGACGATCAAAAGGTTAAGTTACAGATTTGGGATACCAGCGGGCAAGAAAGGTTTCGCGCTGTAACGCAGAGCTATTATAGGTACTATATGATTAATTCTTTTTAATAAACTTTTAAACTTGAATACCGCTTTTTTTTCTTCTGGCTGACATAGCCGAACTAAAAGAATGTTCTTAATAATAGTCTGTTATGGACCACCGAAATTTTCCTATTCATCCTGACGTTCGTTTGTCAGGTTCTTAGCTATGTTTTCTGGTTTTCTCGCTTGTCTCTGCAGTGTCGCGTCAAGACTTCTTTTAATCTCAAGTTTCTTGAGGTTTCTTAAGCAGTGCTCCTAGTTTATTTCTGGTAATTTTTACT